TTAGAGGCCACCCTCAGGCAGTGTGGCCCTGGCCAAATCACTTCCCCTCTCTGAGCTTCAATTCTGTAAAAACAGAAGGTCAGACTAGACCTCTAAGGCCCTTCCCTGATGTCCAAGCACCCATGGTTAACAAGATGGCTACTCAGAGCCAGGAAGAATGCTCCATGCTGACAGGAAACTCGGCATAACAAGCAGGTCCCTAACTTTCCAGCGGGAAAGACAGACACATACATAAGGCCGCTCAATACACTGTGATAAACTGCTATCATAAAGGCAAGAGCAAAATGCAGCATAAAAGAGTCCTGAGTAGAGGGTGCCTGTCTGGGGGAATCCAGCACAGCCCTCAGAGATGAAGTTGGATCTACGTGTCGAGGCACTAACAGAGGCAAGAGCATGTGCAAAGGCACAAAACAGCGAATGCACATGGAATACCTGGGGAATGGACTGCTCGGTGCGCTTGAGTGCAGAGGAGGTGACGGGGTTTGTAGAAGGAGGGCAGGCGCCAGCCGGCCTGCTGAGGAGTTTGCCAGACAAGGAACAGCGGGGGTTCTAAACTATTGGCAAAACGTGATTAGAGTTGTTTTGGAGAGCCGAGTGCAAAGCAAAGGGCCACCAGACACCCCAGGACTTGGTATTTACAAACACCTCTCTCGTGTCCTGATTTCACAAGATAGCGCAGGACCTTATAAGACCCATCTTCGATATATAAAAGTTTTAAGAAAGCTTTTTTTTTTCATACTGACATAAATACGATGGCACATTAAAACAGAAATGTTCAACATGGCTAACTATTCATAACATCATTCAGAAAAAGAGAAGCCATACTCAAAAGAGTGTTTAGGGCCATCTTCTCCTGAAGCAATAGATTTCCAAGTATGTGGGAACAAATGTCAAGATCCTAAGGCTTCCTGGGAAGGTCTAAGCCACTCCTGGGACTCGGCAGGAAATGATGACAGAGCTAGAGGGCTAGACCTTTGTCTTTCCCCAAACCAGAGTCAGCATGTTCAAATCCTAATAGCGCCCTTTCCCCACCTCTATCTTGTCTCTTGCCTGCAGTACCATCAGCTTTCGTTATGTTTGAGAAAGGCTGGCGTCTCTTGACTCTCCTCTACAAAACCCAACCTCCCAGTCAATACTTTTAGACCCTGAAGCCCTCTTTTTCCCTTGCTGCCATAGAGGTGCTTATATTCCCCTCTGATTGTCCATCCTCAGGCTTTTCTTGGCACCCACTGTGCCTTCCAAATTTCTCGTTACTCTGCTCTCCCCCTAGAGAGTCCAAAAGCATGGCCAACGCGTTCATGTCCCTTTTGAATCACTATGTACTTTTTGCTGTTTCTAGGACTTTCACGAAGAAGAAAAGGCGAGGTGAAAAGAGCAGAAAGTTACGGTAGAGGTGAAACAGACGTGGTAGGTCTGTCCTCTGGGGCTCCATATGCCCACGTGGCTCTGCTCTCTTGGCTCCCAAGACACTTTTCCGTGTTCTCTCCTCTCCTCCAACCTCCTTTGGCACTGGCTCCCTCCTTCCTTTGTGCACTCCCCCTCACGGTCTGGTTCTTCCCATTTGAGACCTCTAAGAACCACTCTGGCATCAACCCACAACAAAGGCACCTCCTTGAGCCCTTAAAAGTGTTTTTAAGGTCAAATGCTTCCACCAACACGTTTCCACAAGGGCTGTCCCTCCAACTCCCCACTGCAGCTCCCCAGTTCTCGCCTGACTAGACTGTCTGATTTCCCTCCTGCAGCGCAGGCTTCAGACCAGAGATGACAGGTTTTAGACTCTATCTTCTTTTCCTCCCTTCCTTGTTCCTGCCAGGCCACTGATCACACGTCAACACAGCCTTTGGTGATCAAGTAAACAATGGCAAAGATGGCTGTGGGTTTGAGGAGCCCAAAGAAAATGGAAACACAAGAACGTCAAACATGTCTTGTTCGGTGAGACAATTCAGTTCACATTTAATGTACGTGGATAAACATTCTCTTCACATTAGGCAAAGAAACCCAAATATGGAAACTGTGATTGCTACCATATCTGTAAAAGGCAGAGGCCCTGTTGTCCTGGTTTCGTCAGAGAGCTTTTCAAGACAGAAGAGATGTTCTAGAAACTCGGATTCAAACCACGAAAGCAACATTCGTCATCCTGCTCTTCTGTCTTTCTCTATCCTACAAATGCCAAACTGGATAAGATGCATTATTCAACGACTTAAAGCCTCTCAAGGTTCCATTTGGCTTCCCTAGGCCCACTCAGGGGACACGGTCACTGTCAGAGGTCAAAGCTCATTAGCAGTGGAACCTAAATTCAATGCCCTTGAGATATAAAACCTAGCTCCTGGGGCGCCTGGGTGGCGCAGTCGGTTAAGCGTCCGACTTCAGCCGGGTCACGATCTCGCGGTCCGTGAGTTCGAGCCCCGCGTCGGGCTCTGGGCTGATGGCTCAGAGCCTGGAGCCTGCTTCCTATTCTGTGTCTCCCTCTCTCTCTGCCCCTCCCCCGTTCATGCTCTGTCTCTCTCTGTCCCAAAAATAAATAAACGTTGAAAAAAAAAATTTTTTTTAAAAATAAATAAAACCTAGCTCCTGACAAGGCCTTCCTGGCTCTGATTAATTCATTATGACTTCTGGGTTCTCAGCAGGACCGGTCTCGCAACCTCAGGCTCCTATCTGCTATGAAAAGAAACCTGGCTGAGAAAGGGATCCAAGAAAATGAATGAGTGAAACTTGGTCCATGCAGAAGAACTTCCAAAGTTCATAAAAGAAATTCAGACAAACCAGTGGTATCTGAGAATGGCCAAGCCCTTTGAAGTGTAGAATGGAGGCAAGGATTGAAAATACCACTGCAGACCATAGTGAATGGGCTCTGGAGGTGACTTCAATCTTCCATCAGAATCATGAGCTGTCAGGACTAGAGATTAGTTACTTCAGTGGTCTCATTATACCAAGCAAAGAGAGACCCCGACAGGGAAAATGAGTTTGCTGAAGTCCTATCGTCCATAGCAGTTCTGAAATTAAAACCCAAATGAACCTTCTTCCTTGCCCACCTCCTCACTCCTACTGTACCCAGGGGGGGGTTCAATCCCTCCAAGCATCTTAGGACAAAGACTAAGGAGTAAGTCTTCCCCAGGGCAGGTTCAGGCAAGAGGCACTGCTCCTCAAAGGACCAGGAAGGCCAGGTTCGCCTCCAGTATGCCGTGTGCCATATCCCACCCCAGCTCCTACAGACTTGCTCCCATGAGAGCCCAGATGTGTCTGTGGGTCTTTCTTCCAGGGCTTGAGACACTGCCTTAGAGGGGCCAAGGGGACAGGGAGCATTAGTAGGGATTTGGAGTGGAAATTATCAGTATTGTTTAGATAATACACGAATGCCTCTGGTGCTAAACTTATACCCTTGTATCTTATCCCAGAAAACGTGTAGATGTGCGCGCGCCCACACACACACACACACACACACACACACACACACACACACTTTTTTTCCTCTGAATCAAAAAAACAGAATAATGTAGAAGAATGCTTCTCAAGCTTTATGTGTATATGAAGCACCCAGTCCAGGGATTTTCTTAAAGTGCAAATTCTAATTCAGTAGGTCTGGGATGGAGCTTGAGATCCCACGCTTCTAACCAATTCCCAGGCGATGTCCACGCCACTGGTCAAAAGACCGCGCCCTGAACAGCTAGGGGCAGATATTACACCAAAGCCTAGAATCAGACAAATCCAGGTTTAAATTCTGGTGTCACTGATCATGAGCTTTGTGGTCTTGGGCTGGTTTCCTGACTTCACACTGCTTCAACTGCTTCATTCCTAAAGTGGAAATAATAATATCTAAGATACACGTGAAGATTGTTACCTAAGTTCATGATGAAAAGCTCTTAACATCGTGCCTGGAATATAAGAGGGGCTTAATAAACGCCAGTTGCTGGCTGTCTCTAAGATTCATGAGGGCAGGGGTGACATCTGTCTGGCTCACTGCCAAAATCCCAATGGCTAGAACGTAGTAGGTACTCAAAGGATGTCTGTGAATGTATGTATAATACACCCACACATAGTATCACTATTTACACACTCCCTTGGCTGTCTATGGCTTTCTGCAGGAAAACAGAAAACGTTTAGAAACGTTAGAAACCAGGACACCCTCACCAGTCACAAACCATCATCTCATAGAATTCAACATGAACCGCCATGTAGAACCACCAAGAAAATATATAATCTGTGACGGCTGTATACACTTGAGAAAATGTCTTAACTGTAAACAAAGAAAGGCAACATCAGTCTGGAATCTGTATGTCATTAAGAGAAACTACTACCTTGCTCATTATTTATGGAGCTGCCTGAACGCCAGTGTTATGAAAAACGTAATTCTACAACGCAGTGCACTTCCAAAACAAATGTAGAACTGCAAAAGGAGACCAAACAAATCCCGGGAAGCGAGACCACTTTTTAAAGGGCCATTGGAGCAGTAATACATTCTTTTATACATGCCCACACTTGCTCAGGAAAAATTAAAAATAGAATTGTTAACAAATGGTAGAGTTTAATCTTTCAAATCAAAGGCAGACCCGTGGGTCCGTCCGAGATTCTTCAACAATCTAAGATTATCTTCAGAAGTCTCGGAAAGTAAGTGGCATCATTTAAACTGATCCCTTTGCAGGGAGGCACAGTGAATGGTGTGTAGCAAGAAGGGAATATGATTGCCACCTACAGACAGAAGTAGCACTCCCTATGCAAGAGCCAGCCAATCATATTTCAATGTGAAAACAAAATGCAACCAAATCACCTCCCTCCAACCTTTCAAATCACCACACCACATTACTTCATTTAGAATTACTTTCAAGTCATACAATCATCTCTAGGCATTCTGCCTCTTCATTATCATCATCCTACTTCTAATTTCCCAGAAACACTGTGCCATTCCAATATCTACTTATACACTATCTGAGAGCCAAAGCGAATGCAAGCCAATGGATTTCAAGCAGGCAGAGGCATCAGAGTGGAAGCACGAATCTGCTTACCTGGTATGAATGGGACCACCCGGAATATATCAGACAATCTGCTGTTAACTGGTTCATAAGGGGAATCTTCGAGCAGATCATTTCCTAAAAACAACAGAATGACTGGGCTTAGATCTGGAAAGCAGGCATATTTCAGAGAGTTGTTGTTATTGAATCTAAATTCTAATTATGCTATGATTGTGTAACAAAAAGATGCTGAAACCTTCAAAGATCTCAAAGGCATCTATTCGGCCATGGATATTTTTCCCTCCCTCTGCCTTTGTTGTCCTTGCTCTCCCCAGAGTGCCATGAAAACACTGGAGAGCAACCCAGCCTGATCTTGCCCGAAAACTCTCCCACTCTTTGCAAAGGAATGAAATAGGAGAGGAAGAAACCAGTGATGTCACCAGCCCAGCTTGCCTCCAGGAGCCAATGGAAGAAAGGTGGCCCAAAAGAGGCCCCCCGTGTCTTTGCTCTTAAACATGGCATGTGGTCAGAAAGCCGGTATGCTGGCTATTCAACAGGCATAGGTTCTGGAGGAAGTGGCAGCTGAGAGGTCAAGTCTGTAGGTTACAAATTCTTGGTGTGAGTCTCCATGGAGAATGAATGCACTGAACGTTTGTGTTAGATTTACAAACCTCAGACACCTCTGGCACACAAGGACCCCCAAATTCCCCTTGGAATGGATGGTTGTGACAAGTGGTCCTTTTTCTCTCAAAGCCACTTCTGTGTTAACTGGGGTTTGAACCACACCAGCTGGTTCAAGACTCAGGGAATCTAAGATGACAAATGCTTTCTCACACATCTGCCTTTGATCAGGTTTGTGGGGGGTTAAGATAGAATAGATTCTACTGGACCTTTTATTCTTAATTCTTTATCTGATGTCAGAATAGATAGAAAGGAAGAAAGGGGAGAGAGTCCGGACACGATTCAGGGCAAGTCTTTGTATTATTATTCTCTGAAGCCAGCTCTCCTTGGAGAAAAGTTGTGAGTTCCTGCCAAGTCTTTTAACGGGCTCCTGCTCGGATGCTCTGACCAGGTTTCAGAGAGGTCAGCGGGGGCCCGGGGGTGTCCCCCACCCCCTCATGGGTTTTCCAACAACCAGGCCCCAACAATGCTGCTCGGGAGGCAGCAAACACCAGCTGCGGCTGTCCTTGGGGGCCAATGAAAGGTCCTCATTCTGCAGCTGGGGAGAAGCGAGTCGCGGATGAGGTCAGCGGGACCCGGCCGAGGGGCCCGCCTGCCTTTGAGGGGGGAGGGG